AATCTGATCAGCACGGACTAAGTGTTTCGATGTGCTAGGCTGTACGGAATAGTAACAGTTGTTTACTTTTGAGTTTTTATGGAGTTTATTTCTTTTTTGTGATGCATATTTCAATAAATGGACTTCAGGGTGTTTATCACTTGACTTGTGCACATCTTCGAACCGATGCAGTGATCTTATTACCAGGTATGGGTACGTTTACAGCGTTCGACGCGTTTTCTCAACATGCATCAAAGTCTGCATAAAACCTGCAAATCAAAGACGCTGCTTGTTTTGTTCCATTAAAATGATAATACTTTCAAAGTGTGTTTACGGGTTTTAGTGCTTTTAATTTCATGTTTATTCTGCATAAATTGGCGCAGTGTAAAAATGCGTACTCGTGCAACTAAATCTTTCTTTCAAACTTGCATTTTCTTTCTTTTTTTTAATTACATTTGATTCAAATCAATAATTATTCAGAAATATGATTATTATGTTGTTTGTTGTAGTTTTGAAATGTCTTGATCAACCCATGTGTTCTCAAATGTTTTACCATCGGAGATGTGCACAAGTCGATAGCCAAGCCAAAAAATCATTCGAGTGTAACGAGGGCATTGGGGTATATATCGTTACAATAAGACAAGGTATCTGAAAGAAATATGGCGGAATACGGCTATAGTTGGTATGAAACAAGTCGTACATAGTTGAAAAAGTTGCGTTTTTAAGAATTCATGTCAGCTTTAATTTAAAAAAAATAGCATTACATTATCCGACCGTCGCAGATTATGTGACGGTCTAACATCACGCAGAAAAGGGGGTGTATCTGTAGCTTCTTATATTGAAGACCTGCATGGTTTCAAAGGCAGAGATTACAATCTATACAAAATAAGAATATTGATCAACCTTACATTTTAGATATTTTAATTCAATATTATCATTTGGCGCAACAAGGTAAAACAGTAAATTTTTGTTGGATTCCGAGCCATGTCGGAATCCCTGGAAATACTAGAGCTGACAGTGCTGCCAAAAATGCACTTCAACATCAAATTACTTCATTCAAAATTCCTTACACCGATTTGAAATATCTCGTTAAAATTTATGTTAATTCTCTTTGGCAAATTTATTGGAATTTTTGTGACGAAAGTAAGCTTTACGCTATTGAAAACAAAGTTAACAAATCACCTCACTTCGGTCTGAAACGTCAGGACGAAGTAATTATATCAAGAATTCGTATTGGGCATTCAAAAATTACACATGAATATTTATTGAATCGGGAGTCACAGCCAGAATGCATATCCTGTGACTGTCCGATAACTATAAATCACATACTTTTAGAATGTTCCGATTTTACACCTATTCGAAGTAGACTTTTTGGAAGTATAAAAACAATGTATGAACTTTTTACAAATGTTCATGTTTACAAAATTTTAGAATATCTACAAGAAACGGATTATTATAGTAAAATTTGAATTAAATCTTGAATGTAATTTTAATTAGAAATGCATTAGCATAACTATATGAATTTATTTTATCAACAGTTTATACACTATTTTTAACAGTTAATATATTTTTTAAAATATTTAAGTCCGTCGGACGGGACGTTAAATGGTGCCCCGTGTCAAGGATGACAACCCCCTTGGCACGCAAAAGATCGTTTCTCTGGAGTTCGAAAAAGAGTAGGCTCATTGGGGGCCGCCAGAGAAACCAAAAACTTTACTTATCCATTAACCTTATAGTCCGCCGAAATATGGCTGAAATATTGCCGACTCGGCGTTAAACAATACAAAATCAATCAATCAAAGGCAGAGACTGTAAGGGGGAAACTATTTCATCTTCCTCTACATCGGAAATGTCCGAATCGGCAAAAGACATGCCTTCTGAATTCGTGTCTTCACCATTGCCGAAACTGTCAAATAAATCTGCCGAATCCCTCATCGCTCACTTTTTCTTCTGTTTCACAACCAAAATTAATGTGCAAAATGACCTAATTTTACGATGATTATCTATTACGACGTCAAATCTACCTAGAAATGTATTTCCCCACTATTTTATTTTTAAAAACATTAAATTCCGCTGGCATGACGATTAACGCATTAAAACAGATGTGTTTAAGTGCGTGATTGTGGGGTAAAGGCATATGCGTTAGAGTGCGTCACTGTGGTGCAACGGTATATGAGACCGTCAAAGCAAAAACCAGGCTAAAAATTAAAAAAAAACAACCCACTTTTCCTGATTTTCATTGATTTAATTAAAAACTAGAGGTACTGTGAGCTATGAGCTCAGTAAATGATACCCCCATATGAATATAATGGGAGTGTCCATGTTTTATTGTGGGAAACCCAAAATATGAGTCAGATCAAAAAGTAAAATAGGAGGTGCACAATGGCAATATGTAATGAAGATCCTGTGAAAGTTTCATCAAATTTCATTCAGTGGTATGAGAGGAGTTGCGGATAAGAGATGGGTACCCCAAAGTGGGACGGACGGACGGACGGACATAAGAATACTATATACCCTCCCGCTTTTCAAGCGGAGGGTATAACAACAATAATTTCATACTAAACCACCATGAAACTCTCTTAAACTAGCATCAACGTCATGGGATAAGGTTAGGGGATAACGTCGAATAATTTTGTGACGTCGCTGTAAAATATTGATAAGAAAAAAGGACACCTATTGAATAATAAACCATATTTTTTTCACCTGATGCATGCAGATAGTAATATTAATGTAAACACTTTCACAAGTTTAAATTTTATTTTCACAATTATATGTAATGGTTTTTCAATGGTCAATTAACATTCGTTGATAAATTTGTCGATTGTCCCAGATTTACTCTTCCTGGGCGTCAGGGGAAGGAGCGACGGCGTCCTTGTACGAGACCCTGACAAATGGTTGGATAAATTCAAACAGGTATTCAGTTCTCTCTCTACTTAATCCAGCTGCAGCAATGACATTTGGAGGTAGGATGGTGCCTAAATCGATCCCCTGTTTAAGTAGTTTCGCCTCTGTGCCGGGTGAATCTGGTAATTCTTTGGCTAAGACAACACCTTAAAAAAATTCTAAAATAGGAGAAATGGAGAAATTATAGATAAAGCTAAGAAAATTCAGTTAAAAATCATTACGTATAGATATTTTGGGAACGATTTAAGAACTAGGGACTTCAAAATCTTACATTTTCTTTTTTTTGGGGGGGGGGGGGGGGGCGGGGGGTAACCCAATTATGTTGTTAGCAGCAGGGGGTATACTTAACACTCAATACACTCAAGGAAATGAGGTCAAGGTCATGACTGTGACCTAATTTTATAAGGTCCAGGTCATGACCTTGACCTCTACACAGTCCGGAGAACTCTGTCAAGGTCATGATCTTGACCTAATTTAAAAAAAAAACCGTCTAGGCCATGAACTTGACCTAATTCGAGGAGATCTAGGTCATAACCATGTCCTCCTTACACTAGGACAAGGCCATAACATTGACCTGAAGTTGACGTTAGGTCATTTTAAGGCCATGAGTCTCGATTCTTTTCTAGGTTATGTTACACTACCTTGACCTAAACTAAAGGATATAGACCAGGCCTTGAACTAGGTCATGTAGATGTCATACTTCTCAAATCTGGCTGAGGTCATGTTAACAAAAAAGTAGGTGAAGACCTATCAAGGAATAAGGTCAAGGAACATGTATACAAGTTCGACTCAAACAGTTGTGACATCAAAATAGGGAAAAACTAACAGGTTTGTATTTTTATCCTCTTATTAGTTTTTTTTAAACATTTTTTTAATTTGTAAAATTTCTGTTCTTAATTTTTTCTCTTTTGTTTTTAATTGAAAATTGACTCAATTCTGAGGTTAAGTAGATCCAAGTAAAATGTACCAATTCAAATTTTCAAACTGTTCGGGTGTTTTAGAAATGTAACATTTTAATTCAGTTTTGAAATTTCAACAAAGTACAATGCATGTTAGTTTCTTCTTGTTTTTTTTAATCTTTGAAAAAGTTGAAAAAAAAAATTCCTTTCTAAAGATATTCAATATCTCGGCCAATCTGATTAAAATCAGCTGTTCTGATACGCTACCGCTTACAAACATCTGAATCAACTCCTTCGGGGGTCACGTCCGAACGACCTTTCCGCGAGCCAATCAAACTGCCCCTGGCGAGACTCGTCTGATGGAAGATTTCCCATGATTATTCGCGCTAATGTTTACAACAAGCAAGATGGCTGCCCAGTCTAGCGGCATGGCTACTCCCAGAAAAACGTTAAGTCTTGGGAATATATGCATTTTGTGTGGGTTTTCTTTCATTCACACATTTATAGACTCAAATGGTAAAGAGATTACACAGAAGTTTTTTGATAAGAAGTTGAAATTAACAGAAGAACGAAAAAAGATTATCAGTAGTTCGCTTGGGATTGAGGTTTGTGATACTGCTGGTGAAACAGGTGTATGTCAAAAGTGTTTCCGGACCGTTGGAAGGCTAAGTAAAATGGAAAAAGTATCAGAACTGAAATGTAAATTGAAATACTCAGCAGAGAACGTAAAAGAGAATTTTTTACTTTCTCTTCCGTCACCGAAACGTTCGGTGATAAATAAAAGGATGTTACGTAGTCCTGGTGTTCCTCAACCAACAAAGAAAGTGACCTCCCTCCTACCAATTACTTGTGTTCAGCCCATTAGTATCCTACCTTTTTCTGACCTTACAAATACAGGACTAGGCCTATCTGTCGTCAAGCAAGTGAAGCCACCAGACAGAATACCTGCTAATTAGAATTTTTTACAACCAGACAGCTAATTTCAAAATCAGAGTATGTGACCATTCTTTAGAAATTGAAAATGGTAGACAGATTAATCAGTTCGCACAAAATACATGTAATATGTGATTTAAATTTTAGGGGTGACAGTGAAGAGGAAGGCAAACAAGCATTTCGAAAATGGTTTTCGCACATCGGAGAACTGCGATCAATTTATCCTAAGGCATCTATTCTTGCTCTTAGTGCAACATGTACCAAAAAAATGTCTTTGGACTCTTTGTACAACCTTAGCTGCTGCAGTCACAACATCCTCTGGGTTGGAGATGGTCAGCACTTCCAGCACAGTTTTTTCAACATTTAGTGATTTAAAAATAGCTTTGCATAATTTCTGATGAATCTCATTCACAATTAGAGCTGTCCTCTTCCCACTTGGATATGATATTGTCATCTAATTCATCCAAGAAAAGCAGTTTACATGAAAAATGTACTCAGCATATAAGCATGCAAAAATCAATGCATTAACATTGTGATATTACTTACAAAATCAAACATTATTTTACTGAACAATCCTGATAAATATTTTTAAAAGTAAAATTTTATTTGAAAAATAAACAAGAAATGTTTGAAGACAATGTGGCCATCCGAATGATAAATGTCAGAAACAAAAAAATATTTAAACAAAATTTTAAATAAAATAACTGCATGTAACTTTCAGAATAGATATATGTGGTTAGGCAGTTGGCCATTTTCTATTATGTCAGAAACATGCCAAATATGCCTGGCATGAAGTATATGAATGTACCATCCTTGTTAAAGGCATTTTACAAGATGACCCAGATTTGAATTTATTACCGGGGAAATAATTATACCCCCCGCAAACGAAGTTTAGGGGGGGGGGGGTATATTGGAATCACCATGTCCGTCTGTCCGTCTGTCTGTAGACGAGATTTTTGTCCGGACCATTACTCAGAAACTATTGGAAGGATTTGTCTGAAAATTTGTACACATATTATTCACCATATGAAGTTGTGCACCTGATATTTTTCGTCTTGATTGGATTATTATTTTGAATTTTACAGGTGTTTTTTCATTTTTATTTTGTGGTTTTGTCTGGACCTTTTCTCAGAAACTATTGCAAGGATTAATCTGAAAATTTGTACTTTTATTATTCACCATATGAAGGTGTGCAAATAAAATTTTCAACTCTTTTTGTTCATTTTTCTGCATTTTACAGGTTTTTTAAAATTCTAATGGACTTGTTCATTTTGGGCTCATGTTTAAGGTTTGAGACATAGAATCTAGAATATCTGTACAAAAACGTGAACTACAGCTTAAAACTACTCATAAAAACTTAAAAAAGAAACATCATCAAGTGTTAAAAACAGTTTTTACATTGCACAGAAGATAATGTAATTATGTTCCCCAAACGAAGTTGGGGAACATATTGTTTTTACTCTGTTTCTTATTATTATTATTATTTTTCTTCTTCTTCCTGGGTACTTTTTTGTCCGGGAGTGATCTTGTAAACTACACATCCGACTTAGGTAAAACCTTTTTAGGGTCAGTAGGCATGTTATGTAGATTTGCGGAACGAAGGTCATTTTGCGCGCACGTGCTTGCAAGAGCGTGCACGTGCAACACGTGAAATGACCGATTTAATTGATATAGGCGTAACTTTTCACATTTTTGATGAAATGCTTTGAAACTCATAATATATGGATATATTAGTAGCATAGACAATATGACATGGTCAAAATAGCAAGATCTCATGCGCATGCACGTGCGCTTCGCTCTGATTGGCTGAAACTAAAGTCTTAATATCTTTCTTGTTTTTTGACGAAATCCTTTGAAATTTTGAACATAGCCATACATTTTAATATCCTACAACACGATATATAGCAATTATCATAAAAACACGTGCATGCACGTGCGCTGCAATCTGATTGGCTTAAACTTTAAATAGCTATAACTCCCTTGATTTTCAACCAAACAGGATGGGATTTGGAACAAAGATAGATATAATGGACCTCTACAAGAAGGTATGGTCACCATGCACATGCATACACGTGCGTGTACGTGTACTGCAATCTCATTGGCTGAAACTTTAAACAGCTATAACTCCCTCGGTTTTCAACCAAACGGGGTGGGATTTAGAACATAGATAGATATAATGGACTTCTACAAGAAGGTATGGTCACCATGCTAATGTATGCACGTGTGTGCACGTGAAATGAGTAAAATCCAAAATACCCTCGAATGAGCGTATTTTTAATACTTTTGGATTAAATACTTCAATATTTAGTACATTAAAATATATAGATTGTGTAGACAATATGATATGGTCATTACGCACATGCATTCACACGCGTGCAATGCTAAAATTTGAATGAACTTGGTACACTTCTTGGTAAACGTTGTTAAAATCTCAAATGCATAGAGTTTGTCTTATTTAATGAAGCTTACAGGGGATATGGCACCAAAAGGGAGTTGGGGAGCGTTTGGGGAACATCTGTAACGGTCCCCGTTACAATTAGCACTAGTTATGTTCCCCAAACGAAGTTGGGGAACATATTGTTTTTACTCTGTTTCTTATTATTATTATTATTTTTCTTCTTCTTCTTCTTCTTCTTCTTCTTCTTCTTCTTCTTCTTCTTCTTCTTCTTCCTGGAACTTTTTTGTCCGGGAATGATTTTGTAAACTGTTCGTCCGATGTAGGTAAAACCTTTTTAGGGTTAGTAGACATGTTATGTAGATTTGCGGAATCAAGGTCATTTTGCGCGCACGTGCTTGCAAGAGCGTGCACGTGCAACACGTGAAACGACCAATATAATAGATATAGCCACAACTGTTCTATTTTTAGATGAAATGCTTTAAAACTCATAATGTGAGGATATATTAGTAGTATAGACATGACGACATGGTGAAAATAGCAAGATCTCACGCGCATGCACGTGCACTTCGCTCTGATTGGCTGCAACTAAAGTCTCAATATCTTTCTTGTTTTTTGACGAAATCCTTTGCAATTTTGAACATAGCCATGCATTAGGATATTCTACAACATGAAATAAAGCAATTATCATGAAAACACGTGCATGCACGTGCGCTGCAATCTGATTGGCTGAAACTTTAAACAGCTATAACTCCCTCGGTTTTCAACCAAACAGGATGGGATTTGGAACATAGATAGATATAATAGACTTCTACAAGTAGGTATGGTCACCATGCACATGCATACACATGTGTGTACATGTGCTGCAATCTGATTGGCTGAAACTTTAAACAGCTATAACTCCCTTAGTTTTCACCCAAATGGGTTGGAATTTAGAACATAGATAGATGTAATGGACTTCTGCAAGAAGGTATGGTCACCATGCTCATGTATACACGTGCGTGTACGTGAAATGAGTAAAATCAAACATACACTTGAATGAGCGTATTTTTTAAATAATTTTGGATAAAATACTTTAATTTTCAGTGTATTAAAAATATAGATTGTGTAGACAAGATGATATGGTCATGACGCAAATGCATTCACATGTGCACGCGTGCAATGCTAAAGTTTAAATGATTTTTGTACACTTCTTTGTAAATGTTGTTAAAATCTCAGATGCATAGAGTTTGTCTTATTTAATGAAGCTTACAGGGAATATGGCACCAAAAGGTAGTTGGGGAGTGTTTGGGGAACATCTGTAACGGTCCCCGTTACAATTAGCACTAGTTATTATTATTAAGGTCTTCCGTCTTCAGCGGAAGACCTTCTTGTTATTCTTAGGTTTCTTTTTCACTTTTATTATTATTATTATTCTTTTTTTTCTTACCGATTTTGTGCACGCGATTTCTCAAAAACGGCTCGATGGATTTCCATGAAACTTTCAGGACTTATGTAACATAACTTGAACCTTATGCATTTTTTTCCGATTTGATGACGTCACTTCCGGTTTGGAGATATTGTCGATTTTATGATTTTTTAAGGGTCAGGTTGTCTCCAGACTTTCTCAATAATGGCTCAAGATAGAAACATGAAACTCTCAGGTATGATAGACCATAGTCTGTAGATATGTATAACGTATTTTATTTTTATCGGAAGTGCCGCACGTCGGCGCTCGCTATGGCCCGAAAATAGTCGTATCGCGAATTTCAAAATTTTTAACTCCTTTACTACGATATCTTTTTACCTGGAAATATTTTGTTAAAAGATATAGAACAAAAAAAGTGTAGAATTCCAAGATCTTTTAAATCGTATCTTGAAAAAAGGGCTGGCTACTAAAATTAAGGGCCTAGAGGGGCCGAAAGTTTTTTCTTTATATCTCGAAACATATTGAGAATTTGTAATACGTCAAAGAAGCAAAGTTGTTCAAAATCTCAAGCTTAATTTATTGGTATCGTCGAAAAAAGTCCGGCGTCGTCACTTCCGGCCAAACCGGAAGTAGTCGAAAAACACGTATTTTTGACGTTCTTGACAAGTTTTTAGTGAAGATATGTCTCTGGGAGCTTAAAAATAAATTTTCCGTCCGTCGTCGTCACTTCCGGTCAAACCGGAAGTAGCAAAAAATGGCTTATTTTTGCATTAATTAACTAAGCCTAGGATGATTAAACCCATTTTGGGGCGTTATTACTCATTTTTGTTAAAGATGAAAGCTACTTCCGGTCAGACAGGACGGAAGACCTACTCGTTGCTTTGCAACGAGCTTTGCTCTAGTTCTTATTCTTGTTTTTCTTCCTGGGAAAATTTTGTCCGCGAGTGATCTTGTAAATTACACATCCGACTTAGGTGAAACCTTTTTAGGGTAAGTAGGCATGTTATGTAGATTTGCGGAATCAAGGTCATTTTGCGCGCACGTGCTTGCAAGAGCGCGCACGTGCAAAACTTAAAATGACCAATATATAATGGATATAACCGTAACTTCTCTATTTTGTGACGAAATATTTTGAAACTTATAATGTAAGGATATATTAGTAGCATGCACAAGATGACATGGTCAAAATAGCAAGATCGCACGCGCATGCACGTGCGCTTCGCTCTGATTGGCTGAAACTAAAGTCTCAATATCTTTTTTGTTTTTTGATAAAATCATTTGAAATTTTGAACATAGTCATACATTAGGGAGATCTACAGCCTGTTATATAAGATTTATCATGAAAGCATGTGCATGCACATGTGCTTGCAAGAGCTCGCACGTGCAACACGAGAAATGTCCAATATAATTGATACAGACGTAACTATTTAAATTATTGATGACATGCTTTGAAACTCATTTTATAAGTATATATTAGAAGCATAGACAAAATGACATGGTCAAAAAAGTAAGATCTCACGCGCATGCGCGTGCGCTTCGCTCTGATTGGCTGAAACTAAAGCTTCAATATCTTTCTTGTTTCTTGTCATAATCCTTTGAAATTTTGAACATAGACCTACATTATAAAGATCTACAGCATGATATATAAGAATTTTCATGAAAGCATGCGCATGCCCGCGTGCTGTAATCTGATTGGCTGAAACTTTAAATGGCTATATCTACTTTGTCTTTTGACGAAATGCTTTGAAATTTAAAACATTATCATGCATTAGGATATCCTACAATATGATATAGAAAACAATCATGAAATCACGAGCATGCACGTGTGCTGCAATCTGATTGGCTTAAACTTGAAAAAGCTATAACTCCCTTGTTTTTCAACCAAACAGGATGGGATTTAGAATATAGATAGATATAAGGGACTCCTTCAAGAAGGTATGGTCATCATGCACGTGCACGCACGTGCGTGCATTTGGAACGAGTGAAATGAAAAATACACTTGAAAGAGTGATTTTTCATACTTTTGGACTGAATGCTTTAATATATTGTATATTAAAATATGTAGATAGTGTAGACAAGATGATATGATCATAACGCACATGCATCCACATGCGCACGGGTGCAATGCTAAAATTTGAATATAATTGGTAACCTTCTGAGAAAACGTTGTTAAAGTCAAAATGCACAGAGTTTGTCTTATTTAATGAAGCTTACAGGGAATATGGCACCAAAAAGGAGTTGGGGAGCGTTTGGGGAACATCTGTAACGGTCCCCGTTACAATTAGCACTAGTTTCATTTGTCTCTTGGGAATAATGACTGGACATGCATCCAGTTAAAGATAAATTAATGAGTTTGGTGTTGGATTTTAGTTGTTTAGGCATATCTCTTATCAAGCGTTTGTGTGTTATCAAATCTACAGGGAATAAGGCACAAGAATTAAAGATCTCTCTTCTCTTATTCTCTTAATTGTAATTTATTGTCTGTCAAAACACTTCATTACTGGATGACCAGCTCTTTATTTTCAAAATGCATTTCAAATTGATATATCAAGATAATAATTTGATATTGTATAATGTTTTTTTTTTTCAACAATCAGTTTGCAGAGTGACATAACACATAATTGCAATATATTTTTTTAATGCAGTAATAAAAAAAAATAAAATGAAAAAAAAAAATCTTACAATGGAATTACAATGTATTAGTATTGATGTTTCATTTGGTTGCACCTCCGTTTCATTCATTAAGAAACATGATGAGCAATTATATTTCACTGCAAATTTTTGTAAGTAAATTAGGAACATCTCTAGTTTTTATTTTGTGGTTTTGTCTGGGCCGTTTCTCAGAAACTATTGCAAGGATTAATCTGAAAATTTGTACACTTATTATTCACCACTTGAAGGTGTGCAACTGGAATGTTCAACTCTTTTGGTTCATTTTTTTGCATTTTACAGGTTTTATTTTTTATTTTAATTCACTTGTTCATTTTGGGCTCATGTTTAAGGTTTGAGATATAGAATCTAGAATATCAGTACAAAAATACTACAGCTTAAAACTACTCATATAAACTTAAAAAAAAAAGAAACATCATCAAGTGTTAAAAACAGTTTTTACATTGCACAGAAGATAATGTATTTTCATTTTTCTCTTGGGAATAATGACTGGACATGCATCCAGTTAAAGATAAATTAATGAGTTTGGTGTGGGAAGTTGAACATTAAGGAATCTCATTATCAACCACGTGTAATCTCCTGGGAATCAGGCACAAGAATTTTAAGATCTCTCTTCTCTTATTCTCTTAATTGTAATTTATTGTCTGTCAAAGCACTTCATTACTGAATGACCAGCTTTTTATTTTCAAATGAATTTGATATAAAGTTATCAAGATTAATTTGATTTTGTATGATAAATTTTTTTTCAACAATCAGTTTGCAGGGTGACATAACGCGTAATTGCAATATATTTTTTTTAATGCAAAAATAAAATAAATAAGTAAATAAAAAAAAAAAATGTTACAGGGGAATTACAATGTATTAGCATTGATGTTTCATTTGGTTGCACCTTTGTTTCATTCATTAAGAAACATCATGAGCAATTATATTTCACTGCGAATTTTTGTAAATACCTGGTAAATTGTGAACACCTCTAGATCCATAAAGTATTTTTGAATTGGCACCTTCTCTGAAAAACCCAGCGGGGGGTATTTGTCCCTATTGGACAGTTCTAGTTTTTTGTTGGAAATAAATTTGTGATTAGAAGAGCATTGGAAATGCTTCATTTAGGTGAAATTGTAGGGTTTTTTTTAAATTCAGGACAAGATCTTCAATCTCCGGTGGCATATCTTTAAAATGCTTTCACAACATATAATCTGGTAATAAATATGTATAAATATATTTGAATGTAATAAATTACCTGATCCTCTTCCAGTGTGATCGGCTGAACCAAATTTTAAAAGTAAATGAACCTGGAATTTTAAAGACAACTAGTATAGCATGCAAAACAATAAATATTTAACAGAAATTAACAAAAAAATTATAATTATGAAACAGTAAAACAAACAATTAAGTGAAATGTAACAGGGAGGAAACTATGTCCGTATGATACTATAACTGGTACCTCATCTTTACATGTGAATGTTATTGTATTTGTCATTTCAATTGTACCATTGCCTGTTACACTTGCACATCTTTTAAACTATTGGAAACAGTAACATGAGTAACAGAAAACAAAGCATATAAATTGGGGAATACAGTAGAACAATATGATCAGATCACTGATGTGTGACCTATTTTGACATATAGGTCTACATTTTTCATCCTATTCATTTGATAAAACAAAAAGTTAAATTATTATAAAACAAATGTTACTGAAGTCTCACCTTATTCCTAGGAAAATGTGAATTTTAATAATCATGGGGTGATTGTATGATCATATTGTTACTAAAATTGTAAAGAACATGATTGAAAACCCCCCCAAAAAAAAAAACGTGAAGGATGTAATTTAATATTCACTATACCTCTACTTCTCCTTGTAAGGTTGTATGACTATGAGTATCACTTGGCCTCTCAGTGAAGCAAGTTCTTGTTTTTGATTTTTCAATTTTCTAAAATAGTAAAAAAAATAAATGAACAGTATTTCACTTTTGTAAATATAGAATTCTTTCAGAATAATAGAACATTAAAATGTTTTGAAAATTTGAATTGCTAAGGATACATGGCCATATAGCAATTTAAAAATATTAATATTGAACACAACATACATAGTCTCCGATCGATTTTCTAACAACAAAAATTCTGTTTTAATATTTGCGCATGCAGTGGGAAAAAACAACTCAACGAAGATTGATGCAAAGATTATAATATTTATATGTTTGTTTATACATATAGTATATATGTGATAATATAAAAGCTAATAGAAACTGAATACAGTAAATGTGATTAAATTCATTAAGCATCAAGTACAAAAATTTCATTTAATACAGAGGTCTTTGATAAAATGTTTTCTTTTTTGATAAAGAAAACTGTTATTTTAGTGAATAATATACATGCACACAGTATTTTTTTAAACGAGTCTTCCTCTACATAAGTGTTACAGATCACTGTTGTAACTCATCTAAAAATGATTTTCGTCCATGTCATAGCACTCTGTAACTGGAGGGTAGGTAACTTGAATTAACACATTTATGAAGGTTATAAGTAGTTCTAATGATAGTCTCCTCTGAATCCCATGCTGTCCTTCACAAAGCAAGAAAATTACACGGATACAAATTGCACTCTGCACCTTCTAAAATAGTCCTCCATAAAATTAATTGATATCTCCATCTACTGCACATTGGCATTCATGGCATCCTTAAGCGATCTTAAAGTTCGCAGCTCCTTTTGTAGGGGGTTGGTAGAAAATGATGATCTCTGCATCATTTTTAGTTTTACCTTGTGACGTCTTCTAGAAAGAATGAAAAGTGTCTTTTTTAATATTGATGTATGATGATAGTGAAGTTAACATTTAATGAAAATAATTAAATCTAAAAAAAACTTTTTACAAAATACATTAAAATAAAAATTGGTTCAATTTATGAGAAAAAATACGGCCTAAATGCTCACCTTAATTCTGTCAAAATTGAGTCCTCCACACCCGTGAATGTTCCCTGGCTTCCTTGTGTTGGGGACTTGATACATGTAGTAGCTGTCTCCGTGGCTGAAGAGTCCGTGAAAGCAGCAGCCATACTCTTTGGGGGTGATATTGGGGAAAATGCTGGGTAGGTGCTAGTCCTTCTGACAAGTCAGATAACAGCATTTAGACAAACCCTTGAAAAAATAAATAAAACACGTAGTTTTAAAGTTTTTTGCTCAAAAGATTTTTTTTTAGAACAAACTCTTTGTAAACTTTATGCACATTTAAGAATAATATAATATTTTTGACAATTCTACCCTGAACAAACACGACTCGAAAGCTTAGAATACGTTTTAAGTGGTATTAAATATCTGTCACTATAGGAGGTAGGAATCCCACAAGTTAATCTTATGTTAAAAGTTTTTATCCTACATCTAAAGGTTTTTTGTTAAAAAAACTTTTTGAGGAAAAAAACAAAAGCACGTGTTATCTCTTCGCTCTTTTAAAATATGTTTTGGGGTGTGTAAAAATGCTGTTGTCTGATTAGACAGAAAAATGATTACGTGTACATGTTTATTTATAGCAACTTTCAGTTATCGATCTTGACTTCCATATTTGGAAATCGTCCAGACCTGTGTAATTAATTTAAGTATTCTTAACATTTTAAAAGGCCAAGATAAATTAATTGAACATGTTATTTACATGTACTTTCTCCGTGGAAGTGAACAACTATTCACTGATACTGTGTTTTGTTTCATTATTTTTTTCCTGGGGGTAAATGCCACATACCATATAGTAAAATTAAAGAAGCTTAAAGGTACTTACCACAAACAAAAAATGGATGCGCGGGTTGATATATATTTTTTGACTGATTTTGATTTGAAATGACATAAATAATAAATCCCTGAAATATGGAGAAATCGTAGGTTTTCCTTGGTGCTTAGATATGAGATTTTGTTTTGCTTTCTATATAATAAATTCCATATAAAATTTTGTACAATTTTTTAACCTTATGACAAAATCTTATATAATTCTCTCACTCTACTTGGTAAACATTATTCAGGATGTCAATTTAAATGTAAATCTATGAAAAATAATGCTGATTTCTGAAAAAAGTTTGTTTGTGTTATTTATCCTTAATAGTAACACCTTTATGGAATATATTTGTCAAAAAACGTTTTCTACTGGTGTAGAGAGGGTCCTTAAGGAATATTGTAGAACAGCAAATTATATTTCCTTGATCTGTCTTCTTGGTTTAAAATGTAAGTCTGTAATTAGGGCTTTTCGATTTTTGTCGAAAAGACCTATTGTTTTCGTCTTGTTTATTAGGGCTTTTCGACTTTTGTCGAAAAGACCTATTGTTTTCGTCTTTTTTATTATTATTATTCTGAACACTTTTCTGTCAAAGATTTAAGAAGAACCTTTTAAAATATACATTATATTTTATAACCATCTTAAAGTACATGCAAATGTCTCTTGCGTGTAATATTTTGGTTTTCCGGATACGTCACTTTCGGTTTCTACCAAGGAAAAACAAAAACTGTTCAAAATGCTGAAATCTTTCTTATTTTACATGTCTAAGCTCCGAAATAAAGACACAATAGTTTTGCGGTACAAGTCCTTTGAAACAGTTTGAGTAGGTTATTTTTTACCCCAGAGATTTTTCGAGATATAAGACATCAAACATTGAAAAAGGGGGGATGATTTTTTTCAAAGTCGCAAAAACGTTATTAAAATTATTTTAAGCATAAAAATATGTTTGAACTATTTAGTAGAGCATATACTGTAAGTTTCATATCAATCAGAGCAGAACTTCCGGTTTTATGGTCTTTGAAAATTGTCTATGGGAGTTCTATGTTAATTTGAAATCACGCATGGCAAATTTTCACTTAAATAAATGATAATTTTCTCGTGAAATTTGAAGTTTAGAATGACCTTGATAATGTTCCTACCTGAAAATACTCTGAAAATGAAAATCAGGAAAATTAGGGATTTTAAGGGGCAAACATTGAAAACAGACCTTTGCCTGTAACTTTTTTGTTTCTCAATAAATTTTCAAACAGTTTTCAGATTTGGGTCTAGCATAAAAAGGGCAGTTTAAAAAATATGGTCTGTGGGGTCACTTTTTGACCCCTTATAGGAGTTTTAGAGACATGAAATATTGTATTTTTAAGTCTTTTCATAAAATGATAGTGTAAGAGTTACCTCCCTTTGTCAATCTGTTTGAAGTGTGATATGCTCTCTATGTTTCAATTTTGGTATGTATATGAAGAGTACTTCCCGTTTTATAGGTTCCTTAAAATTGCCTATGGAGATTTCTATGTTAAATTTGAAAACACGTTTGTTTCTTTATCTCAGATTTTTTGAGAAGTACAGCAAGCAATTCTTGTGATATTTCACATGAATAATAATTTTTGCACTGTCTTTAAGGGGTTTGGTCATGAAAACAAAGTTCCCTAAACTAGAAGGGATTTTAAGGGCCAGAATAGAAAAACAGTTTTTTTACTGTAACTTTTTTATTTGCCCCAATATCTTCAAACTTATTTCGGTTTTGAGTTAAGCACAAGAAGGGCATTTTAAAAATTTTGGTCCGTGGGGCACTTTTTGATCCCTTATAGGACTTTTAAAGATCTGAAATATTGTATTTTTCAGTAGTATCAAAAAATAATTGTGCAACAATTATCTCCCGTTGTCCACCTTTTTGGAACCTAATATTTCCTCTATGTTTCAATTTTGGTATGTATATGAAGAGTACTTCCGGTTTTATGAGTCCTTTAAAATTGTCTATGGAGATTTCTATGTTAAATATGAAATCATACAATGTTCCATATCTCAAAAGGGAAGTAAGCAATTCTCGTGATATTTCACATGAATAATGATTCTATCATTGTCTGCAGTTTGTAAGTTCATGGGAATAAAATTCCTTAACTAGAAGGGACTTTAGGGGTAAGTACAGAAAACAGCTTTTTCTCTGTAACTTTTTTATTTCTCAACCAATCTTCAAATTAATCTTTGTTTTGCATTAAGCATAAAGAGTACAGTTTAAAAAATATTGGCCGTGGGGTCACTTTTTGACCCCTTATAGGAGTTTTAGTGGATTGAAAAACAGTACATTTTCGTATGTTTTAAATATTGATGGAAGAGTTATTTCTCTTTGAGTAGACACTGGTGAACAAAGAGAATCGTTATGTTTTCAATTCAGTATTGATCTCAAAAGAACTTGTGCGATATTGTATTATTTGAGTTTTTTTTTTTTTTTACTGTGTAATATAAGACTCTTCTTTTTAAGGGGTCGAAAAGCCCTCCGTTTTTGTTGAACGACAAAAATAAGGTCTAGTTATTATTATTATACTGAACACTTCTATCGTTCAGCATTCAGGGAGTACCTTTGAAAATAGGTATTTTATTTTATAATCACTAAATGGCAAATGTAAATCTCACGTGCGTGAAACATGAAGAACTTCCGATATAGTCACTTCCGGTTTCTACTAAAGGAAAACTAAAACTTCTAAAGAAGTTCATAACATTTTTAATTTCAGTGTCTAGACTCCCAAATTTAAGATATGAATTCTAGATACTTAATCCAAGAAAAAAGTGCGCGTAGGTGAATTTTGACCACATGACCCTTAAAAATTTTATTTTAAAATGAAATTAATCATGGCGCATTTTCTCCTAAAGTATTCAAGATTTTCCTGTAATATTTTGTATACATAATGATTCTGATACACTTCTGACATCATTAAATTATGAAATCAAAATTTTGGAAAATAAGGGATTTCTAGGGGCCAACTTTGAAAACAGACCTTTCCCTGTAACTTTTTTATTTTTCAATGAATTTTCAAATAGTTTTCAGATTTGACTTTAGCATAAAGAGGACAGCCTAAAAATTATGGTCCGTGGGGTCACTTTTTGATCCCTTATAGGACTTTTAGAGACTTGAAATATTGTATTTTTAAGTCTTTTAAAAAATG